GAACATGAAGAAGCAAATCCATCTTAGCTGCCGTGCCGTTAATGTTGCCAATTTGACCACATCAAATGTTGGACTCACGAACGACACAACAATATTTGTCATAAAGAAACTATAGCTTCAAGCACGTGTTTGAAAGAAAAGAACCAGAACTGCAATCCGTGAATTTAACCACTTCACTTCAAACCGCTACCTACATCAGATGTTAAGTTACGAGTATCCACACTGGACCAAATTCTCTTCAAGAGAAGCCAACGACAACCCTTACACAAATGTTCAAACAAAATCCTTCAAAAACGTAGTCACCCTTACCTTCTTCAGTTTATACCAAACAATATTTACTCAAAGACCGATCAAGACAGCTTTTGACAAATCTATAAGCACGAACCAAATAATTCTAACAAAGGAGGACCTTGAAAAATGTTATATCCACGAATACACAGGGAAACATGTGTCACTTGACTACTCTCGACCCTGAAATCGAATGCTGGTGCGTCAACTGCCACCATCATGAAAATAGGTAACATCCGCATCATTGAAACACCAGGACTACAGAGTTGAGATTTAAGTATAAAATATTCGAATAAATATACAAAACTTTCAACAGAATAATAAACTGCTTGAAATTATGTTTTAGTAAATTAAAGCAATTTGTAAATATCTGTCCAAAACTTCTTCAACAGTATCAGACTCATCTTCATATGCAAACCTACACTTAATTGACTTGGCTTGCAGTTTTCCCCAAAACTTAACACAATTATAGCGCTTTGCGCTCAGGGCGCCTTTGACAGCCTTTTTTCGTTCTTCTTGACTACATTAACTTATTCATTTGTTTCATCAAACAGCAACAACCAAAGTTTCATGAACCTAATACATAACATCATACTTTTATTTTTAGCTCTGATTCTCTTGTAGCTGTTGCATTTAATATTTTCTTAAAAAGTGACAACTCAACCAGTCATTCGCACTGGTGCCTTCATTTCCTACACGCTCGCCTTGAAAGTCAACAAGTCTGAATTTGCATGTCTTTCACAATTATGAGGACTAATGCGGAACCCATTTACCTAAATGGTGCTATGACAGGAACGTTTGGAATTGAACATTGAATTGACTGCATAACAGAAGGATTTATATTCTTACTGAACAATTTTACTATTAACTCCTGAACATACCTTGACATTAGCTATTTTGACTCAATGTATAAACATTACCATAACATCGTATAGGAAACAGAATTCATCTCAATCAGTTTTGTCAAACACTTTCAAAGGAATGTCATATGGTATTGCACCCAGAGCAATTGAACTCTATGACTCATTCGTGTTATCTTAACTCCTTTAGCATAACTGAACTTCAAAAACTCCTCAATAAGTTTAACATATTAAGTTTCTTCGTTCTAACGGTTTATTGTGTTTATGAGCGCATTTTAACACTCCAGCTAGTTTCCATCTTATATCTAACATTAAATTGTGAAATCTTTATTTCATGCTTCTTTCCATCTATTTCAAACTCCATGAAAAAATCTGTTTCATGCTGTTATGACAAAAGTTGCGATTATATTTGAGTCCAAACAACTCTGAAAGCAAAAGTTGCTTTCATTCTGAAGACCAAGTTTGTTTGAAGCTTTACGTCCGTATTTTCCGTTTGGGTCTTGTACTTTGCCAAATAGAACAACATTTATTCTCATAAAATATGACTATTCTGCTATGCGTATGAAACAAAATGAAGCAAGAAAGAGCACATGAACTAGTAAACGAAAAACTCACTTTAACCATTGGCAAGGCCAAATGCATTTTAGTCCATTGGGACCGATGGGACAAAAACTAAAAAAGTCATTGATTCTCGATACCTTTTAACACTTATGACCCATCATAAAACAAACTTACAACCAGCAAAGTCCTCAATTATAAATGATGGAACGGTGCAATATATAAACTCTACAGTAGAATCCTCATTAGTGAAAGTATTAAATGTTCTTCATGAATTGTTAAAGAGCTTTCGAATTTGTCAACGACAACATTTAAATGCCTAAAGAATTTAGTCAATGAATGAGAAACAAATTCTCGGCGTCTGGTAGCAGAATGATGTACACCTATGACATTAGGAATATATAACGAACATTAAAGATAACTGAAAGGAGGGAAGGTGACACCGGACCACAAGGAATAAAGGGACCTCAAGGAATACAAGGAATACAAGGAATACAAGGACCTCAAGGCGAAAAACGGTTTGATGGAAAGGATGGAAAAGATGGAAAACTTGCTAAATCATGGAATGGGACCTTATAAAATACTGGTTTACCTGCTTCATTGGAGTTTTCAATCCAAATCGGAAAGATGGGCGGTACTTGGGAAGAAGGTTTAAATGACTTTAAAAATGCTTTGAACTTCATTTTCAAATGTATATCGGATACTAATT